CTGTGGATGAAATGTGATGAAATCTATTTCTGCTCTAATAAGAAAGTGTAAATGTAAAGAGTTCTGAGCTGGGTTCCTAGTTACCAGGTTCTTGAGGGCCTTGTTGAATTTAAAATTCTCTCTTAGAAAGCCATTTGCTGCTAGGATGTTGTTTTATTCTTTACAAGCAGCTGAAGACTTTCTTTGAGCTAGATTCTAGTCTCATCTTGAGTTTCCAGCATTGGAACTATTATTTTACTTCAGTTGTTTATTGGAGCATGTTGTTTCAACTCAGAGTAAATGCCCATAGCTTCCATTTACTCAGTTTCTGTGGGAGTTTTAGTGCTGGAAGGATGATGAGTATCTGGGGGATGTGCCCATACCAGCCTGCATGATCCTGACCTCCATGCCCCTGTCAAAAGATGATAATACCACTTAATCTAATAAAGATGCTGCCTGATCTGCAAAGCAGTTTTCACCTCTCCCCGGGGCCTGAAGAGGCACTGGCTTCTTTCCTGCAGGCAGTGCGGGTGCCAGGGTTACAGACCCATCACTGCATCCTGCAGGGGAGGCTCAGCCTGCACTGGCTTCTTTCCTGCAGGCAGTGCGGGTGCCAGGGTTACAGACCCATCACTGCATCCTGCAGGGGAGGCTCAGCCTGCGCATGCACGTTTGTTTGTTGGCCATGCAGCACGTGTATCCCTCTCCCCAGCTGCTTATTTCTGCTCCCTGCATTGAGCCAGCACTAATATTTGTAAGGCTCTGCCGTGAACTGGATCAGGGAAGGGACCTCATTGAAAAGTACCACGTCTTTAGTATGTAATCATGGCCTGGAAGATTAGTCACGGCTCTGGAAATTCCATTGAGCTCCGCTCAACCCAAACATGTTAAGTGAGCTGTCTGACACTAGGTGAGCTGAATTACCTCTCTTATTTCTGTTTGCTGAAAATTAATTTCCGCCTTGTCGTTTTTTGCTCCCTTAGTAACTGCATCTGTGCGAAAGTGAGAGGATATGATATTTGAAATAAATAGTTTAATTATCTCCTGCATGGTTTTGTTGTTGTCCTGTTATTAGTTACATCTTAAACAGTAATCCTGGCAAAACAAACAATTTTTAGAACTATTTAGTGTATAACGAACGTGTTAAATAAGTAAAAGAAAGTATTGGAGGAAATTGTGTATATGTAATCACGGGTTGGGAATGCAGCTGAATAGTTAAAGCGGAAAGATTGCATTTAAAAGGGGGATGAGTGGTCCTGTTCAGAGACACTGATCTGTAATACACACCAGGCAATGTCTTTTAAAATCCAAGGGGACAGAAAATCCTGGGACCAAAGAAACGCAACTTCCTGTCTCCATAAGTTTTCCTTGGGTTTGCTTAAGTGATATAAAACCAAAAAAGAAATATTCCCATCTTGTTTTTAGCACTTTGTCGTGGCTTTGCCCCAGTTGGCAACCGAGCCCCACGGAGCCTCTTCCCCCCTGCCCTGCCGTGGGACTGGGGAGAGAGTTGGAATCACAGTTGATGGAACTTTTCCTCACGTAGCTTTTAAGATCTTACCTTTACAGTTCTACTATCAATTTTCAAAATTAGGGTATGTGAATTCTGGTTTCTTTTAAAGGCAAGGGTACTTGTAAGTTGCATATGCTGTCTTGGAGCAAAGACAAAGTTTTCCAGTGTGAGTTCTTTCAGGAGAGGGGTGTGGAACTGGCAGTCTTGATGAAGGGGTTGCTTAGGAAAATTTTTCATCACAAGCATAGTAAATTCTCTTTGTCTTAGGTTCTTAATACTTTGTAAAATATAAAATATTACTAGTATGTAAGGTTACAGAGTATGGAAACTGGATCAATTGTCATGTGATGATAGAGAAGAAAAATGTGCATCCTTTCCCAGATAGAAGTGTGAGTGTCACATTTTAGGTGCCAAATTTTTTATTTTCAGTTGTTTTTTATGTGTTGTATCAGGATATTGGAAATATCCTGCAGCTTACATATTCAGGGCTCTTCCTATTCGCCTAATTTTCTGGAAGTATCTACTGCAATCACTGGTTTTACATGTGCTGTTTTCAGCCCCAGCATTCTCCAAGTGACCTGGAGGTAATGATTGTTTCAACTTTAACCTTGCTATTTGCACGCAAGCCCTTTACACGATCAATTTGTGTATGCAATAAGTTCAGACTTTGGCACTGCTCCCCAGAGACCTTTGCATCTCAGAGACCTGTTTCCTTACAGGGATTACCCCTGCTGGGGCAAGTATTAAATGTGGAAGGGCCGGGGATTCAGTGTCCCTCCATCCCTTTCCAAAATTGAGGCAAAGAGCCGATAGCTGCACAATTAGGTGCTCTTCTGGGATAATCTGTGAGTTCTGTGAGACCTGTGCCAGGTTTATAGGTAAGTTACTCAGTGGGTATTTGCAGTGTGGTGGTGGGAAAGGCTTCCTTTGAAAATAGGCATATTTCAGAGATAACGGGATGTGAGAGAGCACCAGTAAAGCCTGTTTAACCCTAGAACCATAATTACATGAAATTGTGTCCTTATTTTTCTATGTTCTGATCTCTTGTTTTCAGTTTACTTTGTGCATGTTTTATGTAGGGGTAGGAAAGGGGTTATGGAGGCTAAAGTATTATATGGGAAACTAAGTAAATCCTCTGGGAATATGTTTGTGACACAGAATTTTTGTAAAGACTTAAAAGACACAAGTGTCTGAGTGGAATCATCACGCTGCAGCTACCACATCTACTGTTGTAATACGTACAGGTTTTTGTAAAGCAAAACACTCTGGGAATATTACTTACATGAGCTTCATACTCACTACCCCTTTTATTTTAGAAGCTTTATTTTCATACAAGCAAGGATCAATGCCTTTTATGTGAAACCTGCCAAGGAAAGCATATGCATGTGGAAACATGCCCAAAACACAGAGAAGCCAGAAGGCAGTTTACTGCATGAGTACTAGACATATTATTTAAAGTTTTTCTGTGCTTATAAAAAAAATCAGTTATGGCTTTTTCAGTAATGAAAATATGAGTGTATTTTGACAGTCTTCAGAAATGGGTATGCTTGCTAAGGTACCAGTTAATCATTGACAAGAGCTGTAATGATTAAGCAGCTGTAATTTACTTGTAGTGTTTGAAAGTACAAAAGGGTATGTAATAGTTAAAACAAGAAGCACCTAATTTATGTTTCACTAGCTGTTAGGTTGTTTTTATATAAATTTAGCTCAAAAGGCTGGTGAATTTTTCATACTGGCTGTAAATGTGGAAAAGGATGGTGCACTTTGGGCGATACCAGGCAGCTGTTGCCATGTTCAGAGTTCTGCTCCCAAGCCTTTCCTTTCCTTTCCTTCCTTTTTTGTTGATGCCTCCTTAGGGAGACAAATGCGGTGGTCTCGTTTGGATTGCTGGAGAACAGTTGTTCTCAGCTATCATCACAAACCCAAGGTACATCGAGGTTTCTTTGTGCTTTTCCCTGGTCACAAAATAGCTCCATCTCGGGGATGGCAATGTAACTTTGTTTTCACAGGTCCATACAGGTGATTTCTCATTTCTCAGTTTGAGTGTGTTCTGCCTATGTCAGGGACTTTGATAGATAACCAAGGGCAAACAGCACAGCTAGTTCCAGGTGTGACTGGGCTTACTCATGCTGCCTCAACAGAGAAATGGTACAAAGATGTTCGAGATTGAAAGTATTGCCAGAGAATAACTGGTGATGTTAACCAGGAGTGTTTGCAGTTGGTTCCTTTTCTTTCTTTCTTTCTTTGTCAAAGTAACGTTTTGTAAGGACTCTTCATCTGCCAAACGTCTCTGTATCTTGAGTCTTGGTGAGATTGCAGGCGTTGTTCTGAATGCATGCAGAAGGCTTAGCCATAAAATCTTTGTCAGATTATCTGCAGTAATCTGTGCCACTTGCCTTGGGTATGTGATCATACATTCCTGAAGAATCCAACCTGGCCTCAGACACTTCCAGAGATGGAGCAGCCACAGCTTCTCTGGGCAACCTGTGCCAGGGCCTCACCACTCACAGCCAAGAATTCCTCCCCAGTATCCCATCTAACCCTGCCCTCTGGCAGTGGGAAGCCATTCCCTGTGTCCTGTCCCTCCATCCCTTGTCCCAAATCCCTCTCCAGCTCTCCTGGAGCCTCTTTAGGCCCTGCAAGGGGCTCTCAGGTTTCCCTGGATCCTTCTCTTCTCCAGGTGAACCCCCCCAGCTCTCCCAGCCTGGCTCCAGAGCAGAGGGGCTCCAGCCCTGGCAGCATCTCCGGGGCCTTCTCTGGGCTCGCTCCAGCAGCTCCACGTCCTTGTGCTGCTGTTCCCAGGGCTGGAGGCAGCTCTGCAGGGGGGTCTCAGCTGGGGGCAGAGGGGCAGGATCCCCCCTCACTCTGCCCAAACCGTGGGATCAGCCCAGGGCACGGGGGGTGCTGAGGCGTGTGAAGCTTCTCACTGACAGCACAGCTGGGACAGAAACATACCTGTTGTCTGTAACTGATGTTGGGAATCACAGATAAATTCCCTTCATTGGTCTCCTAGATATTCTTGTTTGCTGCACTGTGTGATACAGAATAATTTTCCTTTTCTAGTTAAAACTACCCTGTTTCCAAGAAGTTGGGCAAATAGATTGGTACTAAGGTCTTTGTAGTATGAGATGGCAAGTTAGTGACAGCATCTCATTTTTTCTCCTACTCAAGAAGAGTGAGTGGAATATTGATGTTTGTTATAAATTTTTGGTGGGAAGTGCATAGTGCCTTCTTACACAGTTTGTAACTTTTCTCAGCAATAGAGAGGAAACAACAATCTACAGATTGATCTTGTCATAACTTTCATTCATATTGAAGTCTTTTGGGGAATTTCCCCCTTCCCCTGTGTTGTTGATGATTCATATTGCATAAAGCTTCCAGAGCAACAGAATGTTGTATAATATTCCACTGTTGGATTAGAATTCCTGTATCCAGTGTGCTGCAACTGGTTCAAGTGTTTAGAAAAAAATTAATATTCTGATTTTTTTTTAAATTATTCTTTCACCAGTGTGAAGAAGTTTAAGTGACTGCTCTGCTTGATCAAAATGGTGGACACTGAAAACCAGCTCTATCCCCTTACTCCCTTGGAGGAGGAGGATATAGACAGCCCTTTATCTGGAGAGTTCCTACAAGATATGGAGAACATTCAAGACCTCTCCCAGTCTCTAGGTGATGATAGTTCTGGTGCTTTAAGCTTAACAGAGTTCCAGTCACTGGGAAATGGTCCAGGATCTGATGGTTCAGTCATAACAGGTAAGAGAATTTTGGTTTATCACAAACCTTTCTTTTATAAATATAGTGATAGAAATTAAAAACTTATTTAAATTGGTTTTTATGATGAAGAGACACTAGAAATATATAAACTGATTCTAGCATTGTCTTTCAATATTTAAGTTTAAGTTAGTTTGTTAGAAAAATGTCACTGAAAAATGACTGTAGCATGAAGTTTCTGATGTAAATTACCATTATTATCAACACCTTTTTCAAGATAATTTTTAAAAATCATTATTAGTAGCCAGTTGCAGTCTCAGTGCTCATACATTACATAGTCCAGAGTCAAGAACCTTTGTGAGAGGCTTTGCTGGAGAGATCAGCACGGGAATCACTGCAGGGGGTGGGACACTGTGATGATGTCAGTGAGGTGTTCCTGTTAAACCTGGGGGGCTGCAAACCTTTTAGCTGTAGAGCCATTTGAAGTAGTTTACAATTAACCTTCTGGTTGGTTGACATTAGGGTTTGGTTTTAGGGGTTTTTAACTTGCAGTCGATTCCCAGCCTGTGATCCCTGTTCCACCTTACAATACCTGCAGTAACAGAGCTGTGTGAGTTTGGAAGGGAGCAGGGGGAGCTGCCTCTTGGCACTACTGGCCAAAGGGATGTTTGTAGAACTATGATTTGGTTCCCTTTTGGTTGCAGACATTCTCATTAGAGGGGTTCCTTGGACAGGAGGAGTTATGATGTGCTTTATGTATGTCTGTATGTGTTTATAACCTAGTCCTTCAGACAGGAGGTTTTGCAATTATTTTTAAGTCTGTACAAGCCCTACTACAATGATTTAGATCACCTTCTAGTGTCACCTTCTCATTTGAGTATTCAGTGTTCATTGCAAAATGTTCTATTTTTGTGATTAAAGAAGATGCAAAATGTAAACTTCCAAGGCTCAAATTCCATAAGGCAAGTAAAAAGAAACCACACTTTAAAAAAAATTCTGGGGCTTAGGCTGTTCTTGATGACTCTGATGCCTGTGGGCTTGGCAGCACTGGCAATGCCGACTCTCAGTTCTGTGCCAAGGTTTTTTCCAACATAATACTTGCTGACCTACATTCGTGAGTGTTTCTTAATCTGTCTGTTAAAATAACACACCCATTAATTTGCCGAAGTCTTGTGGTGCAAGTTGCAAGATGGAAGATAGAAGAAATCCTGGCCTCAGAAAATATTTTCCTTACACAAGGTGGAAATATTAATTGAAATAATTAAGGTTGGAACTTGTTAGTTTTGTAACATCTTCATCTACTAGTAACACATCTGGAGAGTTTATTTCATTGTACAATTCAAGAAATGCTGTTCCCATTATAAGCAAAACATAAAATATCTGAGTGTGGTGTGTATTTACTGAGTCCATTATCACCCCTCTAGTTCTTGTTTCCAGAGTCACTTCAGCAAAGCTTTTTGTTTGTTGACATTGTATGTCCCATCAAAATTAGCAAGGTACACCCTGTGTTTTGTGTGTGTTTGCACTGGTAATATGAATTATTTTTCAAAGACTTATGGTTAAATTATTAGTTCATTTAATGACTGTTAACTCAAGATTATTTTTTAGAAAAAGCTCATTTTTGTGTGGTTTTAATTTAATTTAGAAATTGTATCAACCTGGATAGTATAGTATTTATGAAGTGTTCCTTTTTCTTTTAGACACCCTTTCACCAGCATCCAGTCCTTCATCCATTAATTTTGCCACAGCTCCAGGTAGCATAGATGAATCATCCAGTGGAGCATTAAACATTGAATGTAGAATTTGTGGGGATAAAGCCTCAGGCTACCATTATGGAGTACATGCTTGTGAAGGCTGTAAGGTACAGTCATCATTTTCTTCTTAAGAACCTAAATCACGTTGCTTTATTTACGGGGTAATATGAGCATAAACATTTGGCACAGAAATGTTTGATTGTGACAGTTCTAGCCATTACAATTATTTAAATATAAACATATCTGTGATCTTTTTTCCGAAGTAAATTGTTCAGACACCATAACTCAATAGCAGCCCTTTGTCAAGTAGGAGCGACTTGCAACGGTCATTTTAACACTGCTTTTCTGGATATAGTTAGTTAAGCACTAAAACAACTTAAAACACCAAACTGTGACCAAAACTGAAAGCCTTCCTGCTCCTCTAGTGTTTGGTTTGTGTTGGCAGTATGGCTGCAAGGAGCGTGCCAGTCTGCTAGGCTCCATTGTAACAGTGACAAGTCCCGAATTTCTCATCTCCGCCACATTGTGCCTGAATCACTTGGCATTGTGCCTCTTGTAGTTTTGGGGCCAGGGCACGTCTCTGGGGCAAATTACTCTCATCATTAATGTATCATTTTTGGGATAATATGGCCCATGAATTATAAAATTATTTTCTTTTTCATCTGATGTTTTAGTTTTTGATTTTTTTCTGCATTACAATACATTACAATACTGTGTACAGTTTTCTTTCATGCACCATGTCAGAATATGATCACGTGAATATAAATGGTAGGGAATAATGCAGAATATCTGCTCAAGGTGGGGGACCAGTCCCCAGCCAGGTGTGTCCCCAGCCTAAATGCCGTGTTGTTGTCATGTGACACACAAGGTTGGGTTGGCTGTGGGTTTGCTGACCCCGTGGTTTCAGAGTTTGTAGGCAGCACTGAGACGTCGTGGTGAGAGCTGTTGGGGTAGAGGCTGTGCTGCAACACTCAGCTGTGTGTCCTTGGCACTTCTGTGCCCTGTGCTGTGTCCTCATACCCCTCACATGTGCTGGGTGAAGAAAACCTGGTGATTTTGTGACCAGGTGATTTTGTGTGTGTATGTGACTTACACTGTGGAAGATGAAGGGTATTTCTGGCAGAGGACACTGAGAGAACACAAACAAAAGCAAAATGTGACTGTTTTGCTTCATCCCTAAGTGCAAATCTGCTCAGGTACTCTGGGTTCTTGGTTCTTTCCCCCAGGAGAGAGGGCTGAGAGCTGCTCCCTCCTTTCGTGTTCTCCACTCTGAACCTGCCCTTGGACCGCCACTGCACTGCGTGTGTTCGTGCTTCTAGACAGGTTACACCTTGGGAATTGTTCTGCGAGTCACATCAATAAACAATGAAAGAAAAAAAATTACCTGTATGATTGAAGCTTAATAGTCAGCATTCTTTAACATTACATATTGTTTTTTTAAACTTTTTATAGGGCTTTTTTAGAAGAACAATTCGTTTAAAACTCGTCTATGATAAATGTGATCGCAACTGCAAAATTCAGAAAAAAAATCGTAATAAGTGCCAGTACTGTCGTTTTCAAAAGTGCCTTTCAGTTGGAATGTCACATAATGGTAGGTAAGAGTGCCCTTAATTTGTTTGTTCCCACCCAGAGCCTGCTGCTGGAAGCAGGCACTTGGATAGTGTTTTTACTCATACACGTGGATTGAACCTCAGGTTTTTTACGGGACAGATTGCGGCAGGGGACACCAGTTTCCCTGGTGGGTTCATGTAGTTGGTACAGAGCTGCCAAATGTGCCACTACGAGCTTTACACAGTTGTGCTGGATGTCAGTTTGTCCATATGAATGTTCATTTATTTGCTTTCTTCACCCAGAACTTTGGCACCAGTACTCCAATTGAAACAAATTTCAGTACTGGAAGAATTCTGATCAAGGGCTTTGTAGAGGAGTAGGAGGAGAACAACTAGCTCATTGTGAGAGGGAATGACGTAGGATAGAAATCTGTAGAAAGCAGACTTCATTATTTTTCAGGTTACAGTGCAAAAGCTCTTGGGCAGATGGTTCAGAAAGTGGGGAGGGGGTGGGAGGGTGAAGGTCTGTGCTGGCTGTGGCACAAGAATCCAGTAGGTTGTTTGATAAATAGAATGGTAAAAATTCAGAGCATTTAGATAGCCAGTTTAAAAGTTATATTGTTGTTTGTGTTAGTGATTCAAGATAAGGGTGGTAAGCCTGTGGCTTACAGGCCAGTTTCAACCCACGAGGCAGGACACAGCTTGTTGAGCAACATGGGAGAGGCCAAGCCATGAGAAAGCACATTTTGTTGGCCAGATGACTGTAGTTTGCTTTTCCTACATAGGTCAGGGATTGCCAGGGCTGAACTTGGGGGCAGGTGCAATTTGGAAGTGAGTGAAAATGCTGGGCTAGGTGACAAGCTGTGGGTTAGGAGACAAACTTCTAAGGAAACTATGCAGTCCGGATAGCTGGGGTGGGAACATGGTTGGGGAAGCTGCTTATGACATTGTAGTCAGGAGTCCCAGCAGGAGGCATCAGGAGAGTTGACTTTCTGGTTCTGCTCCCTTGTGGTGAGTCCTGACTGAGACTGAGGTCCATTGGGAGGTGGTTGATAGTCTCTGCAAGACTGGTGATAACCATCCTGAAGCAGCAGACTCGGGGAGAGCGTGCCAGCCAGCAGAGGGGCGGGAGCTGAGCAGGGAGCTGTGCCAGTTGGCAGGCATTGACATCCATTTGAAGCTGTTTCACTCTACTAAGACACTGGCAATATTTCTCAGGAAAAAAGCTAGAACTAAATTTACAGCCACGACCTTAAAACTGTACGTTTGGGTTTAGAGCAGGTGTTCTTCCACTTTTCATTAGATTGCTGTGATGACCCACCCCTAAGGGGAAGGAAGCACCTAAGCCAGATTCCAAACAGGCCTTCCATGTTGGACTTCCACTGAAGTCCACAACCATATGTCAGATCATGTCTAGAGTCACCTCCTTCGTGAGAAGATGCCCTGGGCACGTGTAAGGCCTAGTGCTGCCCGTGCCCTGAATGGCTCAGTCCAAGCAGCGAGGTCCCAGCCTGGGTGCTGAAATGCAGAACGAGTCACTGGCTGTATGAGCCATCTCAAACCCTTGCACGCCTCCCAAGGGTAAGGCCCTTTCTAAAGTGGAGCTGGTTTGGTTTGAAACTGAAACCCAAGGAGGTGGACATACCTGGTTTATAGCTAAATGGCAAGAGCACTTGGCCAAGAACCAGGAGACGTCCGTACCCAGGCGTGTTGGGAGCCAGCAGCGGGTCTGGGCCGGGCTCTGCTGCAGCTCTGCAGCTGGGGTGTGTCCTCCCTGCCACTCCTGCCAGGAGTTCACTCAGCTGCTTACAATTCCCAGCGCGGACTCTGAGTTTCACGCTGGGAGCTGTAGAACACAATAAGGAGAAAACAAAATACGAGTACCTAGGCAATGTAGGAGGGAAAAGGCATGTGTTCTACCTCACTGCAGATACCAGTTTGTGTGCTCAAACGTCTCATTTCCTAATACACTAACCTACTGTATTAGTCACCACTAACTGTGTTGGAGAGGAGGAGATTTCTTCACCTCCACCTCAGTTTTTCTAGACAGGAAGTCTCACTACTCTAATCAGCAATGGTAAAAGCCTTTAATTTCTTTATAACTGAAGTTTGTTTTACAATTGTATCTTCCCATCAGCAATACGTTTTGGAAGAATGCCAAGGTCTGAGAAGGCCAAGCTGAAAGCAGAAATTCTAACAGGTGAAAATTACGTAGAAGATTCAGAAATGGCAGATCTTAAATCACTTGCCAAAAGAATTCATGATGCTTACCTGAAAAACTTCAATATGAACAAGGTTAAAGCCAGAATCATCCTTGCAGGGAAAACCAATAACAATCCGGTAAGTACTTTTCTGTTACTTTAGGATAAAGCTAGCAAGTACATAAGGTGATCATAACAATTTGTTAAGCTCTTTAGCAAATCTTTTTGAAAATAAATATCACGCTCCTACAGACATGAAATATTCAAAAAGAATACCTGTACTAATATGGTTGTTTTTAACCCCTAAAAGAATAGTAAGAAGCTTTAGGAAAGTCAGATGATTGAGTTGTAAGTGGAAACTCATAATATTAAATTGTAACAGATACACAAGGGAATGAAAATTAATTCTTAATCAAAAAATAAAGTGACATCTGAATGTGAATAGCTCTTGATAGGGGGGAAATGGCTCAAAATTAATTTCCTATTATGACAGTGGGAAAAAAAATTATAATGTTTTTCTGTCACAAATGCCAGAATAAATACTATTATATTGTAGGCTGTACAGGAGCTCTGCATGACTTTTATTGTAATCAGAACCATATTAATAGCAGGAGGGGAAAGAAAATGAGTTTGTGAGTTTTTTGTTTCCAGTGCTGGCCATTTCCTCCCCCAGCCCTCCTGCTCTTTACTGTACAGTTACTTTGAGAGGCAGGAGCGAGGTTGTGAAGACACATATGCTGTAGAAGTTATTTTTGTTTCAGGATAATATAGGCAAGGTCTACCTAATGCTATCCACCTGCTTTTTGTTTTGTAGCAGAGGAAAGTGTATAATCATTGTAAGGACTGGCTTGTTTCACTTTTTGCATATTTATTACGTTCGGTTGCGGTTTTTGTTACTTATATGTAGAAGATAAGTATCTTATTTTACCAACAACTTCAGTTTCAGTAAAAACTTGCAGGGAAGAGGTTTTTGTATGCCATAATGAAAACCATGTAAGTGTGGGGATGAGTGTTACAAAAATTGCAAGCAAGCTGTCTTCTACATTATGGAATTTGGCATATTGCAGTCTAGTCTAGCCAAGCTTACAGCTTTCTGCATTAAAAGAGAGACACATGAATTATCTCAGGCTTTTTCATTGGATTAAAGAGATGTATAAAATTAAGCACAGACTTAAACATTTTAGGGGGTAGAAGCTGCCATAAGGCTACAGCAAATACCACCTTTAACAGCTCACTGAGTGGGTTTCTGCAGAAAGTCCCTTTCCTGCTTGTCCCCAGCTGTCAGAACCATAAGGCACAAGGTGTGTCACACATGCAGGGCTGGGTCCCAGAGCACTGCAGCCCAGCCCTTGTGTTTGCATGTGTGTGGTCACAGCCACACGCCAGAGCAGCCCGTGGTGCCTCACGTGTCAGGGGAATGTACACAGAACAATTAGGGAGAAATCAGACCTACTGTGTTAAGCTTCCAAATTTTTCAATGTGCAGGGAAAAGGAGAGGGTTTTTAACCTATTTCATCATCTCTTGAGAAAACGAACGTTTTAATTTTCTTTCGACTTTTTAGCAGAAAAACAAATTTTGAAAGAAGGGGTTTGTTGCTTGTAATTAGCAACCCACCTGTTTTGAAGCTGTACATTAACAGCTGATTTCAGTAAGCCTAATTTATGGCACAGCTGCAATTAATTTCAGAATGAACAAGCGTTTCTCGTGATACTAAGGTGTAATTTTTTTAAATTTAGCTCCTAAGTCCTTGGCCATACCTTTTTTCTGCATAGTGAAATGATGATAAATTCCAAAAACTGTGTGTAAGGTAGTGTACATCTTTGAAAGGATTTAGAGATGTGCTGGGTTTCTTGCTTTGTCACTTTGCACTCATATCCATCGGCCCAAAGAAAGTTCTGCTCTGTGCTAGTGAGAGATGGAATATGTAGTTGGGTTAAGCATTTCAGAAGTGGACAACCATAGGAAACTCACCTGTTTGACAGTTTGCTGAGTGAAATAAATAAATCCTATGAGTTTCTAACAGACCACCAAGTGCTTCTCGTGGTGTTTAATCTGAGATGAGCAGAACAGCAGAGGAAAGGTGCTTGGTGTGTACGGAACTAGATTTCTGTTCAAGGTCAGTTGCCATGACTCTACTAGGCTGGGAAGCTTTGAGCTTTGTTGTTTTTCTTTAGTGGATTGCCCTTTGTTTGGATTATTGCTCTGCAGATCTGTATCAAAATATTTTTGAGTTCTGCTTATTCTGAAGAAAGGCTGAATGCTGCTTTTGATAGGATGTTTTGAGAGAGCGGCTCGTCAGTTTGTAATGCACATACCTCTCTAAACAAAGGGGGCTATGGAAAAGACCAAATTTTGTGTTGTCTGACATTCTGGTGGGATTCTGTGTTTAGAGATGACGCAGCACCAGCTGCAGTTAGAAAGGTGGGACAGCTGGGACATGGTTTCTGAAAATCTGATAGCGAAACACAGGAGTAATGCAGGGTTCACATTCCGGTCCTCTATTGAAATGACTGTCTGTATTCCCCCTAGGATACCTCAGGAAAGCATCATGATGTGCATCAGGTGTGTAGTTAGTTTAGGAATCGATAGGAGTGTAGACAGAGTAGCCTGGGCTTCTGGAGAAGGTAATACAAGTCTTTTGTGAACCTTCTGGGACTTGCTCTGAGGTGGGTATATGCATACTAAGCCCAGGACTGCTGGAGCTTCACTATAACTGTTAGATCAAACTAAATTAAAGACAGGCCATACACTTTGCAGTGTTGTTTGCAGAGCAGACTTGTTAGGTATTGCAGTTTGTAGTTCTGTCATGCAGTGTTTCTCTTGATGCAGAAATAGGAAAGATTAGCACGTAAATCAAAGTTCATCAAAATTCCTACTCTTTAGGAAGCCAATGATTAATAGCCTTTATTTAATAACTACATTAGTGGGGTTTTTTTTGCTCTGTAGCCATTTGTTATCCATGATATGGACACCTTATGTATGGCAGAGAAGACCCTGGTGGCAAAATTGGTAGCCAATGGGATTCAGAACAAGGAAGCAGAAGTTCGAATCTTCCACTGCTGCCAGTGCACGTCTGTAGAGACCGTCACCGAACTCACTGAGTTTGCCAAATCCATCCCTGGCTTCTCCAGCCTGGACTTGAACGATCAAGTGACGCTATTAAAATACGGGGTTTATGAAGCCATATTTGCCATGTTGGCCTCTGTGATGAACAAGGACGGGATGCTGGTGGCCTATGGGAATGGTTTTATAACCCGGGAGTTCCTGAAAAGCCTGAGAAAGCCATTCTGTGATATAATGGAGCCAAAATTTGATTTTGCAATGAAATTCAATGCACTGGATTTGGATGACAGCGATATATCCCTTTTTGTTGCTGCCATCATTTGCTGTGGAGGTAAGCATTACATATTTGTTCTCTAAGGCAGTACATCTTACAATTTCCCTCACATGAATTAATAATTTTAATGGAAAAGCTTCTACCCTTCTTGAAGAATCACTTCTGCCTCTAACTGTACTTTCATGAGTCATTATAACATTATGACATGTATTCTTTTGCTTGTTTTGAGAACAGATCGTCCCGGTCTCGTAAATGTAGGACACATTGAAAAAATGCAGGAGAGCATTGTGCACGTACTGAAACTTCACTTGCAGACCAACCATCCTGATGACACCTTCCTCTTCCCAAAACTTCTCCAGAAAATGGCTGACCTCCGACAGCTTGTCACAGAGCACGCTCAGCTCGTTCAGATAATCAAGAAGACTGAATCTGATGCACATTTACACCCTTTACTACAGGAAATCTACAGGGATATGTATTAAGGATTTTTAGAATTTTTTTCACAATATTTAAAGACACAGAAATACAGATGGGAGCAAAACTACTTGCACAGTCACGTGCTGTTCACTCAGCCCAGAGCAGGAAAAATCTAAGACTGGGGAACTGGAGTGTTACACTTCTTTTGGTTTGGGATCTTTTGCCTTCTTTTGAAAGAGTTCTGCAAAAAAGTGCTGGTCAGAGTGCTCAATGAAGTGTCTTACAATGGTACTTTTATTTGGAAATTTGAAGATTGGTAAGGAATACATATTTGTGTAATAAATCAGAATATTAAGTAACAGAAATGAACAAAATTTTATTTCCTCTTGGCTTAGTCATTTTAGAATTAATATAACAAATTCAGCCATCTCCCTCCAGGTGTATGCACAATCAGAAAGACGATGCACTTTTGCCTTAATGGTAATTACTGAAACCAGCTAACAGTTTTTCCTAGTCTAGGTGTACCAAATGGCTGGATATTACTGTCCATACACTTCTTAAAGATTGGAAAGACCTTTGATCCACTGCTGCTTTAATTCTATTAGATGATGCACAGCTTCACATAGTGTTACCTTGGCATACCTTAGGATTAGCATGTTTAAAAGATGGTTCTTTTATGAAATGAAACAAAATCCAAATAGTTATCTAAAATACTGCAGAGCTGCTCCAACGGGTGTTTCTTTGAAGAGTAAACGTGATAAAGTGATGGAACTCTTTTTTTCAGAAGTGTTTTAAGGAAATGTGGAAATGTCCCTGAGGTAAAATGTATCATATACCCTGTATATTTTGGAGAACTTGTTACAGCTCAAGATGCAGTTTTGAATTAGAAACACTCTTTTGAATTAGCAAGAGTTTTGGAGAGATTGAAAAATCTGATCCTAGCCCAGAAAAAAAGAGAATTTCACCTCCACAGCATTCTGCTGCAGTGATTCCTGCTGACTGTGAAGGAATGATTAGATAGAAAAAGCACCTTCTCATACATACATACAAGTGTATTATAGTTGTTTGGACCTGTTTGCTTTTCTGATGAATACACTGCTTCATTTTTTCCAATTATCCATCTGGATATATTACTTTCTATTCCTTCTTAGGCCTTGTTGATAGAAGCATTCGCTCCGTAGTTTTGTCCTCGGGGATAAGGTGACAATATTACCAAGAACAGTGTCTGTAGGTGTCGGACTGTGTGATAATAGGAAAGACAGCACAGCTGAGAGTAAGTCTATCGTGTTCCTAAGATAAACGCTGATTTTTACAATTGCACCTTACTCCTGATACAAAATAAGCCATAAGGAAATGTCCTCATTTCTTTAAGGGTTCTTTCCTCAGACAGTACTGCCCAGAAGTGACAGCTGCATGCAAGGCACTGCTATTTCTGTTCCTTTTTGTTTCTTTGATATGGTAACTGCACATTATTATTTCCTAATTTTACTTTCTGTTTCATAGCACCAAGGTCTCAGGAGTCAACCTGAGCATTTTCACTACAGCTGAGCTTTCAGTGGCACAGGAGGACACTTTGTTTTTGTTTAACTGTACACATTTGGAGACACCAGAGTCTTCACTGCAAGAACTGAGTGAGACTGACGAAGTGAGAACATCACAGTGTGATCCCTATCTCAGTGGCAATGCTTGTTTCTGTCCAGGCCTATGGACACTGGATAAATTACAGGTTTAAAGGCAACTTGGGGTTTATCTGGGAGAGGGTCATGAGCAGAGGCTTTAGTGTCAGGTATATTTAGTGTAAAATACTGAAGCATAGGCCTCAAATTTTGTGACCATCTAGGGCAGGATAGGAAGAGTAAATGCATGTGCACAAAACTTCCTCCCCTTGGCTGTTGCCAACCAGCAGCAGGAAGAACAGGCCCCAGACACTCCATCGAGAGGCCATTGGCCTTGCCAGGAACCCGTGGATGGGAAAAGGGCTGCCTTTTGTGTCTCAGAGCAGCAGGCAGAGTGCCCTCAGACACACAGACAGGATTTCAGCTAAGCTGCTGCCTCATCCTCCCAGTCAGCCCCGTTGCACTGAGGAGCTATGGGCTCTAGGCCTACAACATCCTGCGTGGAAAGAATTGATACACAATATTGCTACTGCAAAAAATTGTCAAATATCAGCCCTTCTGGGCTGGCATACTGAAACTCTAGCAGCCAGCTGTTAAGTTTATCTTCTAAAAAAAAAAAGGGTAACTTGAATTTTTTTTCCCACAAAGCTTCGATTTTTGCAAAGGGCAGATTTCAAAGTTGTGTTCCATAGTCTGGGTGTACTGAAGGTCCTCAGGAAAACCAGACGCAGTCAGTCTGGCCAACAACTATTCTTTCTGCTCTTGTTCTCAAAGGTGGCTAAAACACTTTAGTGAAACACTTGAAAAACGTGGAAAATTTAATAATTTAAATATTTAATAATAATAATAAAACCTAATAATTTAAGAATACTTAAATTCTCAGCAAAGCTATAAAGAATTGAAAACAGAATAACTCAGTTCAAGACTTAACATTTAGCTACCTTAGCAGCTGCTTGTTACAGGGTCCTATTATCAGCATTAGAAAAGCACATAATTTTTTTGTTATTTGAAAACCAGCAAGCAATGTTTGACTAGTTCCTTGGACACTGAAGTTTTATTTCTGTTTTAAATTAAATTGCAGACCTTTATTGAGAAAAAAAAGAGAAAGAACACATCTCTGAATTACAGAAATATGAACGAGATGTTAACACAGCCTAAAATTCTGGGTGGGTTCTACTGCCCACACTGCTGCCCTGTGCACATTCCCACAGTCACTTTAAAGAGTGACACAGGGCACACAATTCCCTTCCTGAGCATTAAGGGGCAAAAGAAGTTCTTCATTTCTACATTACGCTTTTAAAGAATTGCATTTGCTCCTTCAGGAGGTGTCTGCAGCAGGCTTTGGCCAAGCAGATTTTAACATTGCTCAATTTGTGTCCTTTTTTTTAAAGTTTGGAATCTGAACTAGTCTGAGATCTATTTCTGATCTATTACTTCAGCATTTGCCCTGTGTACAGATCATCTAGTATTTTAAAATACCCCTTCTATGGAGGGAAATAAAGTAATCAGATTTTAGGATTTAAAATGTATTAAAGAATTACTGTCTTGTAAGGTACAGTTTGGATCAGATTCTTACCAACATAACTTGTTTTACTGTCATAGCACAGAAGAGCTCGGGTTAGCAACCAGGCACCACAAACAGCTTAAGCCAAGAGACAGCAGATGGATAGAGAAATATCCTGGGAGACAATGGTATGACATAAGTTTTCAGCAAACCTACAGCTTACTCATTTTTGAGGGTTGTTTGGGGGGTTATTTATTTATTTATTGGGGTGCCCTAGGTACTTTGACAGAGGGGAAGGAAAAAAAGGAAGGTTTTGTGCCAAGTATTAGGGAAATCTGATGTTTGTTCTTCTCTCCTTCTGAAATATTTTCTTTAAAGGTACTTTTTAAAAAATCAGTTACTTTGTACCATTTTAAACTTCAAATCCCACTTTTGTTTTAAGCACAAGTTGGCACATCGTAGGAAAGTTTCCACTTACAGAAACTGCATCTTTTGTAGCATTTAAAGAAACCACATTTCGTATTTAATTGCCATTTCCATGTGCCTTTGAGCTTCGGTTCAGAGCTGAAGTGTTGCCAGAGAGCAGAGTTTTGCATTGTTTCTGTCCTGCACAGATTTCGGAAATACCAGCGGCTGCACTAAGCCCGTTCTCATGAGAGAGCTGGCACAGGGCTGCACATCAAAGAGCTTATAATAAGCATCTAAACATTTGTTTGTTTATTCAAACTGCTGAAACTTGGGGAGATTTATTCATCACGAGAGCTGGGGCACATCTGATTGAATTTGGATTTCCTCTTCCTTTCTGATGGGGAGCCTGGACAGACTCGGGCACCGCCTCAGGCAGAGCCCCTGAGGAAGATCCCGCCGTGGCTGCAGAGGAACAGTTCCAGCTCTGTCCCTCCTGAAAGGCTCCCCGGGACTGAGCTGAAAATCTGCAACTGCACTTCACAAATGCATTTGCAGGGGCTGTGATACCGTTCAAGCACAAGGTTTTACAAATAATGGTCCTTCCCAGAAACCCCTCGTCCTTTAGGGAGTGTTGGATCCGGTGGAGCGTGGTATCTGGTGCTTGCTTATATCTCAAGTGCTTTCCTGATAATCGGTTGCATATAATTTTTGTATCTAGGTTTATTCAGCTTTATTACCCTTCTTTTACCAGAGATTTAAATTATATGTGGGTTTGATCTCAGATTATTGACATTGTTATGTGTTGTGGGATTTTTTTAATTTAATGTAATACCATTTCTTCATGTTTCAGTTTGTAAAATACAAGAATATAATTGCAAGGTATAAACTTTGAGTAAATTAATTACAGAGGTGCTTAAAGAAAAATTTGTAAATTATTTAATTTAAATATTTGTTACATACTTTATCTTGTGAACCCTTTTGTACAGTGAGGAAACTTTTACTTCTATGGGCTAAGGATGAAGAGGCTGAAGTCAAAGACAAATTGCTATTTATTCCTGTCTGGTCTTTATTGCTGTATTGTTTGTGAAGAAACATCACAAATTCTGCAAGTTACCAGTGTTTGGTGTTGACAGTTGTAACAAAAATTTAAAATATATTTTCACATAGAACATAGACTTCCTTTTATTTGATTTTAATAAAAGCAAGTCTAGTTGAGGAAGAGCTGTAATCCCAAAATCGATGTTTTTAACTTGAGTTCACCAATACAAAAGTTAGTTTGTAGAACTGAATTAATCTTTGCTTTGCAGCCTGGTAGCTCCTTTTCCTTTGAAGTCTGAAAAGAGCTAAAAAAAAGCTGCACTCAGTTGGTGTGCCAGTGCTGGTGTTTTCTGAGGAACTGACTCGTGGCTCAGTGGCAGTGACAGCGTGTGCTCAGGATTATTCCCTGCCCCCTGCCCTGACGGCGAGCTGCAGCTTTGGTAGATGCATTTTCAAACCTATGATTTGGCAGTGCAAAACACAATGCTGAAATGCCACTATTGGCTTTCCTATAGGAGTGTTCCTGTAGGATTTTAAATAGAACTGAATTCGGAGTCTGCTCCTGGGGATTCTGTGTCTTGTGATGCAGGTGTGCTAGTCTGTGCCTACAGCATGCTGCTGAGGAAATGAGATACAGGGACAAAGGTACCTTTCAAAGGTATCTACCTTTTATCTTGCTGTAATCCAAACACAGCAGTTACCACAAGCACAATCTGTTACAAGTGCTCTAGCAATCGTTTGTACTTCCTGCCTTTTATTTGTAACAGAAAATTTGATTTCCTCAAATTGCTGCAACTTGACATATTCACCTGATCAGTGTCACCATAGAGGTGTGTTGTCTCCTGAGGCGTTTGTGTCACGTCTGTCAAAGCTCTACTGGATTCCCAGTGCTCACCTCCCTCAGTCCCGCTGCAGCAGGAACACCGTGTGAAAGGTACTGATGGAGCCACTGCTGTACACTGGGACACAGACCCACTGTAACTGAGCCCACCTGAAGGAGGGTGTCTCCTCCTCTCTTTTCTCCAGTGCACTTACAGAGGTTTTTTAATCTATTTTCTGCTTCTGAAACTGGGGTGGTTTTTTTTCCTTGAGCTCCTTCACCGATTGTGTCAGTCAGTCTTGTCAGATTGCATTGCGAGGGTGTTTCAATACAGAATTCCTATTGCAAGGACCTCAGTTCCAGATGAGCTGCCTCTGCCAGGGGATAGGCAGCATGCATGAAAGAGACTACTCTGATTACAGCCTGGACCTTAAGTAAGGACTGCAAGATCAAGCAAAAGGTACTTGAAGTTGTTTTTCAGTATTTTGGTATATTTTCTCAGGTTGGATAGGCAGGTACCATAATCCCTATCATGGTAAGGACACCAGCCTTATGCTCAGTGCAGGGAGTTTCATGGCATTCTTTACACTTGAAAGAAAAAAGATTGGCAGGGTGGAGAATCCTGACCCACAGACATACCGGCAGCACACGAGCAGCGTGTTGCCGCCGTGTTGCCGCCGTGTTGCTGTTGTGTTGCTGTCGTGTTGCTGTTGTGTTGCTGCCGTGTTGCTGCCGTGTTGCTGTCATGTTGCTGTCATGTTGCTGTCGTGTTGCTGCTGTGTTGCTGCCGTGTTGCTGCCGTGTTGCTGTCATGTTGCTGTCGTGTTGCTGCTGTGTTGCTGCCGTGTTGCTGTTGTGTTGCTGCCGTGTTGCTGTTGTGTTGCTGTTGTGTTGCTGCCGTGTTGCTGCCGTGTTGCTGTTGTGTTGCTGTCGTGTTGCTGCCGTGTTGCTGTCGTGTTGCTGCCGTGTTGCTGTCATGTTGCTGTTGTGTTGCTGCCGTGTTGCTGTTGTGTTGCTGTCGTGTTGCTGCCGTGTTGCTGCCGTGTTGCTGTCATGTTGCTGTTGTGTTGCTATCGTGCCGCCTGGAGTGCGGCGTCCTCAGCCCGTCTGGGATGTGCTGCAGAGCCGGGCAGGGCTCCACACCCCGGGGGTGACTCACCCACACACCACACGGTGCTGTCCCCACACAGCATGTCCCCACGGGACACAGTGCCTTGGCCCCCAGGAGAGGAGCAACATCCATGGCTTTGCTTGCTTCTGTGGTGATAACCAATCTAATCAGCGTTCCAGCAGGATGTGTTTGCACAAGAACTCCCCCTCGGCAGCTGGACAAAGTCTGGTTTAGGAGCTTCTGGGGTGAGCTGCATCCTGTGTGGCTCCTGCTGTTTCCTACTTGCTCAGAATCTTCTTTAGGAATGCAACACCACAGCTTAATTACGTCATGATGTTAAGGCCCCCTCGCACATCTTAACCGGTCTGTTAGCTGGTATGGCACAGAAAAAGCACAGTGTTGTAATGCTGCCAAACACTAATCACTAGAGCTAATGAGTGTTTTATTAAATCAAAATAGCAATATTAAAGAGGAAAAAAAACCACCAACCAGCTCACTGTTTCCAGTCACCTGTTCTTAGAGGTTTGGATACATTTAATTGCAGTAAACACAGAACTTAGAAAGAGCAGACATTTCTTACAGGGAGTAGTCAAAGCTAATTCTCATGGAATGCTTGTTTCCCAGAAAAACCACTAATTCAAGCCAAGTTCCCAAGTTTCTCTCTGTCAGAACAATGCAAATGACACTTCCAAGGACAAATGAAAGCTCTGGTCTCACAGGGATTTTTAGGAAAGAAAATGTATCTTGCACTTGTGAATGTAAAAGTTACATTTAGCTAAATACAATGACACTTCTCAAACCTTACCAGCCTACTGATCTAGGATAAAAACTTGAACTAAACATTTTTTTTCTTTTTTACATTCTGATTTTTTTTGTCTTCTTTAAAAATAAGAGGTTGAATTCACAGTGTTTGTATAGAGCCTGGTAGGAACCTATGTGCTTTAAAAAAAGTAATCCTTTCAGACTGAATGTAAACAACCTTAATTTGAAATACGGTTTTGCCTTAATGGTTGTAAGAAAAATAAAGTATTTTTAAAAGTGAATTTAATGTTCTGTGCTAATCTTTTATTTCCAGGAAAGGAACCCACTGCAAAAAGGTATCTGAAATGTTGACTTCTAACATGGATCTTTTTTTCCCACAATTAGAGACATATATATATTTTATGTCTTAAAGCACTTGGAGCTTAAAAAGGCTCCATTTTTAAATGGAGCAAATAGGTCCATTATTGCTCCTCTAGTCACTGCAAGAAATTCCAGTCCTTAACAGAGGACACCAAAATACTAAGTCCAGAAAAAAGAAAGGACACTTAAATGTCCTAATAACTAAAAATAACTCATTGAAATAATGATGACTTCTTTTAACAGACATGTTCATTCTACTAAAATGATCAGGTTTAGATGTTGTCCTATGACAAATTATATGCATGGATGAGTTGAAAAAAAAAGAGATGTTAACCAATGCAGTAACAGGTTCTGAACCAATGACCAACAAAAACTTGAGTAAAAAAGGTGATTTTGTGATTAGGGAGCTTTCTAAACATATCCTTAGGGTGTGTGACTGGTTTTACGGAAAAGCCACCTAAATCATCTTTTAAGACAGTCAAAACAGATAACTGAGAAGCTAACTTTTGAGCTAAAGAAACTGCTGTTTCTGTAACATCTTTTTACTCCTTTTTTAACTGAAACTGTTTCTGACATCCCTATTTTAGGTGCAGTTTAATTGCCCAGTTCAGAAAGAATTGAGTTTATTAATGGAACTCTTCTATGTCCAGATTAACTGAAGTGAAAGTGAAAAGGAAGCCACCTTTATTGTAAAGCATAAACTTGATGTGTTCAGGGTCCTCCCCAGTTGCTGTCCTGACACGGACCTGAAGGTTGAGTGACTGCAAGTGCAAAGAACTTGTAAGTATTTTTATTGGTATTTTATTATAGGAGCACCGACCTTCAGGAGTCTCAATGCTACGATAGTATCAAGATTATCATATTGAAAAATTCAGGTATTTCTATGAGTATCAGTGACATTTTCTCGTAAGAGTTTTATTTTAGACTTAAAGCTCTAAATTCCCTGCCTACTGTAATCTTACCAGCACAGCACTGCCAGATAACGACTGGTGTATAGTGACTTTCTTGGATGTATCCTGAATTAAGCCAGTTAAATGTGTCTCAGATTTTCATAACACTGTAGGAGTGTCAAGAACAACACAAAGCATCGAAGTAGCAAATGTGTAGAATTGGACCTGGTTCCTCTGCTGTTTGGTTTTTCACTCCAAGCACTTTCCATGGTGACAGCAGGCTCGTCTGCCTTCCTTCCTGGCTCCTCCACCCCGGGAGCCGTTCCGCTGGCCCCGCGGCTGCTGCGCGGTGATGCCGGGACCCAGGGTAAGGACATGGGGGACTCTGTTCAGTAGTAGTGAGCTGATGAAGGTCACTTCTTTAAAAGGAGCAATATGATAGTCTCTGAACAGAGAGGAGAAACCCCAGCCAAAGAACTGTCACTCTTGGTCCTTCAGGATTTATGTTTTGTATGTGTTTTTTTGGAGGATTTCTGCTGGGGCTTCCTTTTATCCATGTCTTCTTGTATTTCCAAAGGAAAGGCCTTTATGTTTTCCTTCACACAGGGGAGACAGAACCTTTTGGAGTAGAACAGACTACATTCCTGTAAAAAAAACCCCACCATTATTAGCAGGATACACAAAATGGAAATGCTTAAGTTCTAGTCTCGTTAAACTAATTTATATTTAGAATTCTTCTAAAATTAATTCTTCTAGGTTGGAATATTTCAGCAATTTTTCTTAATAATTCTAAGATCTGGTTAGAGCTAACTGGGTGAAAAATAAAACCTAGGTCTGAAATAAGCACTAACCAAATCAACTGTCCCACTGCTCCCATTAAAGTGACCTTTATCAGCTCCCTGCTGCAGGGAACAGCAACACATCTCCTTTGGCTGCCTTGTCCTTCCAGCATCATCCATGTGTTTCCTGGCCTGAGGACTGAATTCCAGATAGGATTTCTTGGGTAAGCTGGTGCTGCTGTTGCTGACAGATTACTCTTGGAGAGTTAGGCATGAATAAAGATGTAATGGATTCCATTATATTTTGGTTTTACCAAAACAGCAAAGTTTTCCTCAAAAGCTAAATCTTGGCTTATGAAGATTTCTCCCTTCTGGGAGGGTCTTCCAAATTCCTGCACTGGTATGTGAGCTTTGCAGTCTCAGCACTCTCTTCCTCACCACTCTCCACAAAAATGGCCTGGAGGCCAACACAAGTACCAAGTAGATATGCAGGGGGCTGTGGGCTCTCTTAGCTGCCACTTCTCCGTAACTCCCCAAAAACTACTCTTCCTTCTATTAATCTGTGTGCCTGTACTGTCCTAGGAGAACACTACAAAGTATCACTATTATATCAATGTCACAGAGGTGTCCAATACCCAGAATAGCTACATGAATTCCACTCAGCTGAGACAATTCAAATGAGATTTCACCCATTACCCACCTTTACCCTCAGTGAAGGTACTCACTGGTTAAAACCTCTTCTCTGAACTCTTGATGGCAAAGTATAAAAGCTGCTGTGCACATAGAAGGTATTTTCACTGTCCTTGGAATGACACTGCGACCAGACAGGCTCCGTTCACAGCTGGTTTGGTTGTCAGCAAGTGCTACAGACCCAGTATTTATTTTTCACCCAGGAGCTGTCACCAGATGTTAGTTACTGAATGGGGAGAAGCAAAACCTATGGAATATTTTAATCTATGTGCAGCATAGAGTTTGAACAACTAGAAGAGAAGCTTATTAATGTATTATTCCTTTGCCCTGCAGCGAGACTGACGTCCATGGTTCTCCTGACGTGCTGATCACCAAATTCCAAATAGGATTTCATGGGTAAGCTGGAGCTGGTGTTGCTGATGGATTATTCTTGGGGATTTAAGCATGAATAAAGACATCATTTTAGATAGATCTGGACATCTTTTGGGGAGAAATGGATTCCCTGGGTCTTACCTAAATAGCAAAGTTTTTCCCTTGCCATGGTCATTTGTAGCTGGCTTTCTTCTGGGAGCTTGGCTTGGCTATTCCTGTGTTTCTGTCCTTGCTTTTGTTTCCTATGTCACTATCTGGACTTTAGCAGCAGATTCAGCTGGTAATTATATCAAAATCACAATCAGCCTGCTTCCACGTGACTTGGAAGCTTGAGGAACAACTTCTTTCATCTGTTGTCCTTTTCTGCACTGATGCAAGGCCCCTTCATATGCAGGAACTAGTGTGAGGCCTTCGTCTCTGAAAAGCCCTGAAACTGGATTTCAGTTGCACAACCTCCAGAGCCTATTGGTTTTTGTCTTTTGGTATCCTTAATACGTTAAGCTGCCAGTTGAAAAGGGAGATTAGGTTTGAGTTGGTCCTGCTATTGTTGTCTGTGCTGCAGCCCCCCCGCCCCCGGGTAAGCTCAAGGCTCCCAGTGGTGGCCCCTGGGCCATGGCAGAGAGGGGAGAGGCTGTTCCCCCATCCTGCAGGTGGGATCTCCAAAATTAAGATGCAGCTCCTCACAGGAAACACAGGGGCTCAACTTGCATTCTTTTGGCTGAAATGAATTGCTAGCTGGTGCTGATTTTGGCCGACGGGACTTAGGCACATTGTGACTATGAACCATTGCACACCTGAGTGCTGGGTCCATGTACCCTTAGCCCTCCTCTCTGTCCTAACTCTTCTTTTAATGCCCTATGAATTAAACTTACTACGTAGAGTCAAGCCCTTCTTTTATACCATTATCCTGATGCAGTTCTGTGTTTAATTGGATGATTCTTTAATATGTTTTCCTCTTTCCATGACCAAGGCAGGAGGGAGCCATTGAAATTTCAAACTTAATAGTCCAATTCAGGCGAAACTGAGGTGCCAGAGCATGCTGCCGGAGTTTATTTCTGTTTTGACATGAATCATGTCTGAAAGTAATGTATACAGGGATGGTATCTTTACCACACTACGTAAAGGAATGGTTCTGCCTGTCCGTGCCCAGGACTGACCCTGCATGACTGGAAGCTGAGTGGAAAGTAGCTGTAGTATTACATTTATCACTTAATACCTACACTCATGACCAAGGTCAGTGGTTAGTTACCTTCTGCTGAGGTGAGCAATAAGGGATGAAACTTGCTCCCCTTCCTCCTTTCTTCCCTCAAAACTGCCTCTTTTCCTACCTTTACTAAGCATTGCAATAAAACAGAAATAACTGTTTTAAATTACTAACATGGTCAGATTATATAATTTTGTCTCCCCTTTTCTGAAAGGGAAACAGGAAGAAGGGCACTCAACCTGCCCAAGGACTTTCAAAAGCCTTTTTATTCTCTTCCTTTTTGTGGGGTTTTGACGGGTTTTAAGACATTACAGATAGTCATTAGAATTATTCCCAGCTGGACCAGAACTAATGGCACTGTGATTAAAGATTGGTTGGTTGAGCAGGGTGTTACATGCTGCAAGATGACTGGAGTAAATTAACTGAGTGAAACTTCAGAGGATATCTGAAGATGTGAGTTTATGAGCACTATATAGAACAGTTGCTAAGTCGTGACTTTTATTGGCACAGCAACTGTAAGGAAATACACCTCTGCTAGCATGGGCTGTCTCATGAAAAGCCTAAAGTCTGATCTGTATCTAGGCCTCCTTAGGTGCAAAAGCTAGAATATGAATCCAATCCCTTTGCCAAATCTAAGGTCAGAAAAGTCTTAATTTTGTCACATGTTAGCCTAGCACTGTTTTGAATTTCCATAACATTGAAAGCAACCTGTCACTAAAACCTTTCCAACTGGTCCAGCTTCTTTGCCGAAGAGGTCCAAGAAAGCATGATTTTCTTCAGCTTCAATTCTTATGTTGTAACGTTGTAGAAACACTCAGCCCAGGGCTGAGTTGATCTACTTGGGTCAAGCATAAGCAGGAACCAAAACCAATCCACAGAGACATTATCCTAGCTTTGTCTCTCTCTATTGCCTTGGATAAGTTTTTACTTCTCTGGACTTTTAATTTTCCCTACATGAAAGAGGAATAGAATGTGTTTACTTACTTTGTGGTGTGGGTGTTTCAAGCACTAATTATCATTTCTGCAGATCTCTTTCAATGTTACCTAAGCAGTATTGCTAAATACATTTTGAAACCATAGTCATATGTGTGATTCACTATCTGGCCTGGCCAGTTGGGTAAGAAATTTATTCTCAATTATTTACAATCAAGGTTTTACATGCAGTGATACCATCAAGGGAATCTTGAAAACTCAGATAACAAGCAGTAAATGACTGACATATTTCCACAATAGGCAAAATAAGCAGGACTGTTAAAAAGATTGGAAGAGGCTTCCATTTGGCTCACTGCAAGTGTCTTCTATGCATTGCCATGGCCTGGGTTAACTGAAACCAAGACAAGAAAAAGACCCACCTACATTCACAAAAGCACACTGTGTGCAAAGATCCTGAGAGGCTGAAATGCTGTATTTCTGACAGACTGAACTGCCACACTTGGAAATATCTGTTGAATCCTTCATAAATTCAAGACATTTCATTTGGGAATGAAAATAGCTAAATGTGCTCAGGTTTGTCCAAAATGTGTCTGTGTTGCCTCTGCTGTTAAAAAGGAAGGCTAAACCTGACATTTTAAGGTTGCCTACCAGCTGCTACTCTAATCAGTTCTTCTTCAGAGAGTGAGCATGGCACAGCACGGGCACAATCCACAAGAACATACAATTATGTACAATTAACACACGTGCACTGGTAGGACAAGGGGGAATGGCTTGCCTTAAAAATAGGCTGTTTGGCTTTTTGCTGATTAATCTTTCTCTAGCAGGTCACTGGGACTGAAACAAAAAGAAAAGATTGAAGCAACTTGTTTTGCTTGTTACTTACTGTACCGACACACACTGATCTGCCACACAGACTGCAATGAGAGCCAAGGATGAGGAATTTGTCCTTGTCAGGGGTGAAAGGATCCTTCATGACATAGGCTTCTTCCAAAAGCCTGTAAAAGAACAATTTCAAGCTTTTGAGAGTAGATTTCACAGTAGGGGACAGTTAAGAGGGGGAAATTGTGGAGGTTGAAAAGTTATCAGCCCTTTGTACTTGATTTGCTCAGCCTGCTGTTGTACATGAGGCAGTGGAGCAGCTCTGCAGCTCCTTTTCTCTTCAATGCTGCAGCTGCCTTCAGTCCTGTACTGCACTTTCTGTCTTCCAAAATTAGGGCAATTGGTGAGTCTCTCAATGTCGCCTTACTAAGTTTTTCTGTATGCTCTACCTTAAAGTAATTGTGTCTCTTCCATTTTTTATGGCAGGCACTCCTCTGCACGGCCAACTTCAGTACTTTGTCAGGTTACCGTTTCAACTGCACAGCTTTCAATGAGAGGTTCTCTTCCCGAGCTGCAGGCACGTGAGTATGAAATACAAAGGTTTTACTGCTCCTAGGTATGGCACTGCTGTAAAGTTAAGGTTCCCACCTCTTGAAAGCAGGAGCTACTGCCAGAGAGCCTTGCAATCACCTGCAGTGTGCTTACTTTATGTCACAGACTGTACTGGTTGCTCCAGGGTATTAAGGGAGTGCATTTATTAATGATTTGGCAACCTGCTTGGGAAACACTACGGCCTTACTCTTCCTGGGAGCTCCAGGCAAAATATTACAGAAGTCAGTTGGGTGTCTGTCTGCACAGGGCACCCAGCAAGGCCGGCTTACTCTTGGGCTTAAGTCAAACTTGGATTCTGGTAGTGATATGGATAAAAGGTATCCTGTTAACTCATACTACCTTCTCCTGCCTATGCACACACACACACAGGTATGTGTGTGCCCACGAGCGTGTTCCTCTCTCCTTTTCCTGCCCACTCAAACAAAAAATGGTATGGCCAGAGCCTTCCACTGTTGGGAAAGATCAGGCATCTTAACACGGCAGATCACTTTGTCAGCAAGTCTCCTGGGACACAAAGACTGGATTACATGTGCAAAGCTCCCCTTGCAAGGTTCACAGCCCTAACGTAGCCCTCATCATGCAGAGCCCTGGCCACTGCACAAGCCCTCCCATCCAGCACAGGTTTCCTGCAGCACTGCTTTTGGGATGTGTGAGTAAGCCAGGAAGCCAGCCAAGAGAGATGGGGTGTGAAGCTGTTTCTTATAAGCCTGTAGAGAAGTGATATGCTTCAGCATTATTCTTTTGCTTTTGGCATCTGAGCAACCCAAATAAAGCTGAGATGTTAATGCTGAGCTTGGATAACCTAAAGTTAAGACTCACATTCAGCTTCAACTCAGACTCTTTAGGAATGGACCTGATCAAAGGTGAGCCATTGCTCTGCTGAGTAGAGGAGGGAAAAACCAGTAGCACTGTAGGATTTGAGATTATAAAAATACAGCTGCCACAGGAAAACAGCCCAAGCAGGTCATCAACAACTGTTTCCATTCTGTAATACACTGAGTGGTTTTATTGGGGTGAAATGCTGAGTACATGCCTGACTTCCAGTCCCAGTGAGCTCCTGACCATGTTTACCTGACAGGTTCGTTTACCAAGATGGCCTCCACCAAGCTACTCATGCATTTAAAGCAAAGTGCTTTATTTTATGGGGACTTTAATGTCTGCAGACCAAGTTATAACTGCATAGTTTCTAGTTAAGCTAACCCTACTTAGCAGAGGTGGAAAAGGCTTCAGTCCCTGAAAATGTAAATATGTACTACATATCCACACATTTTAATGGATACGATATGACAAGGGATTGTCTAAGTCATGCAAAAAAGCACTGCTGTTAGAACTCCAGGTTGTGTCAAATGGCTCTTAAAAAGTGTTTTTAGCATATATATTTCATTCATGCTGTGTGTATGTATTGCCCAGCTGAGGGAGGCTACTGTGACGAAAGGGCTATTCCCAGAAGTACTAGGCTGGCAGTCAACAGTATTTTAGCAAGAAAGTACTGGTGTAGGTGGATAGCAGAGTGGTCAGTGGGGCCAGGAAATAGGTGAAATACAAATCTTTGCATGGCACCAAAGCAGGACGGGAAAGCTGATTTTTGCCTTTGCTATTAACACTGACAATTTTTAACATTCCTTCCCTTTGGAAAAAGAAGATCACTTTAAGATCTCATGTTCAGGGGCAATATGGCACGTTGTTGGGCTCATGCAGTGCACACTGTTGCACAGTACAAGGACTCTAATGCTGGCAGCACTTACACGACAGAGCGTGAGTTCGGCGGCCTCGGCCCGTAGTACGTGTAGGGAGCTGTTAACCCACAGAGCTGGCACTCGAACTCTCCTGTAGGCTGAGCTTCTTTAGGAGCATCCATCTTTAGGCTACCTACAACAAACACAAAAAATCTTTTAGCTGGCAGCATGCCTGTAAGGAGATTAAAATGACCTGAGACATCTGGCTATGCAAATTAAAATCCAGTTAAAAACTGATTATTGCAAACCTCGATTAGTAAGTCTTTTCTCCCAAATCAAGCTGGTTTCCCACATCCCAGTTAAATTTTCAAATTTGCTAGACAGGTCTATAAATTGCAGCCTGGGAGTGTAATTTATATCAAGTTCCTACTAACTTGGAACTTGATCTGTGAAAGAATTTAGGTGACAAAGTACAAGGCTTTGATCTGGAATGAGATCTATACTCCCTAAGTGCTTCTCAGCACACGACTCCCTGTCTGCTGCTGTGCAGAATCCCAGTCCAGCTCTGCAATGCCTGTCTCCTCCCTCCAACTGCAGGCTGGGAGCCATGAAAGGGTTTGGGACCACGCTCAAGAGGCAGGTACCAGAAAGGCAGGAGTTGCAAGGATTTACTATGTGTTTTTCTTTGCTTCTGGTTCACCTTCAAATAGAGTTTTGGAAGCTTACCCCTGGCTCCCTGTTCTTGTCTGGCTTCCCATGGAAATGAAGCACCTAGACAGAGTGTTGGCCCACTCAAGCCACACAGGACAGAGGAGCAGGTACCTTTCAAAAGGTTTAGGTCCTCTAATTTTTATGCAAATAGGCAGAAGGGGAAGACTCTGCTTTATCCTCATGAAGGATGCCCCCATATTTCTGCAGAGCAGAGACTGTGCACACAGGAAAGCTGTAGTCCCTCCTTCTGGCAGACTGCAGGCCCGCCCTGCAGAGGCTATCAGTCCCCAGGTAGAAAACACAGCAAGTCGTGCTTCATCAGCTTTGGTGCTTACAAATTACTTGTTTAAAATCGTGGCCATTGATTTACATTTTGGAGCTTACCCTTCACAAATAGCACTAATATCAGTTGAGAGTCACACCCTGAGCTTTTCCAAAAGCGGGGTGTGACGAGTAGGCTTTTAGGATTGATTTTGCTATGTATACACAGTCCTATCAAGCACAGCTAACCATGTGCCTGCCCAAAAATTGCACCAATCCATGAATGAAGTGTGGTTGCTTGTTTGCAAACCAGGTATCATCCCTCACCTGCACCACTTTCTTGTACAGACACACTCACCTTGCAATCATCAAGAAGACTACAGCTTTTAGCTAAAAGCCCTCACACTTTGCATGGCATACTGTGTTCTGCTGCCAACTCATCAGCTTTTCTAAGTGAAGTGGAGCTGCCTTCAAGCTGAAGAAGGTAAGCACTAGGAACTCAGATTTGGGCAGTATCTCAGCAGGCAGGTTGTGTGTGCTCACAGCTGAGCACATACACAGCCTGCCAAAGGACAGCAGCTCATTCCCACTACCCCTTCCCTGCAGAGCTGATTCAATCCACTAAGGCCACGTCTCTGTGCTTTAGCTCAGCTCAGGGGTTTTCTTTAGGAACAAATTGCCTGACTGTCCCTCCTTACCACACTGGCTTTGCATCGCTGAGCACACAAACCAGACAGTTTCAGACAAAATAAAACCAAAGATGTGCTCCAGAAGCACACCTAACACACACCAACCCGAATGCCCAGCTGGTGGCCATGCAGTCTACAGACTGGAACCAGAGGTAAAACTGAAACATCCCAAAACACAGAGAGTGGGCAGCTGGTATACAACATCCAACACCTTGGTCCATGGTTTCAGTCTTACTACATCACACTAGTTACTAACGCAGTAACAAATAAAAAAATATTTTTTTTTCTTCTTTTACTGTCTTTTTTTCCCTCCTCTTTCTTTAGGGAACTAAATTGGCTTGCAGAGGAATCCAACAGCTGCCAACAGTAGCACAAGGTAAGAGGCAAAATTGCACCACCAGCAGAAAGGCAGGGCTCAGCTGAGGGACCTGTACATCCCCCCTTTAGTGACAGTAAGCTGCTATTTCTGCCCACCCAGCAGGGTGAAACTGAATCCTTGGAGACATATGCTGCTAAGGTGAATTAGGGGCAAGGTGAAGCAGAGTTGTGACTACTTGTCATCTAATGTTCCAGACGAGCAGGGAGACCCTCAGAGGTGACAGAGGCTTCACAACAGACACCCAGTTCAGAAAGTCCTAGCCTTTTAAACCCTGAAATTTCATTTTGGAAATCATCTCCCTTACCCCATCATTCCTTTACCACCAGCCTTTCCACTGCCGTTCCTGGCATTTCAGTAGTGCAGAGAGTTCTTCAAAGGTAACACAAATGGGGCTGGACACTGGTTTAGTAAGTGAATCTGCCTTAGGAAACAACATTTTTTCACAAGTGATATGACCCTTGAATATCATGTATTCTCCCCACCTCACTGGGATGCATGAGGGAATTTTTTAAAGTGCTTTCAGATTTTTCATTTAGTTATAAGGCATGCATATGCTACCTATTTCTCTCTGTATATTAAATTTAGATTCTTCAAACTATATACAAACTCAGCTTAGAAGCCTGCATTTCGGGATTACAAGGTAGGTCCCCCTGACATACCTAACTCTACCTTTTCTGTAGGCAGTCAGTAGCAATACCAAGACACCCACCCATCTGAATTAGATTCAGATCGACACTTGTATGCAATTTTTTGTAATCAGTCTTTTTTAAAAAGGGGAAATCATGAACCCCACAGAAGTAGAGTATGGAAAGTCACTTGAATCAAATAGAGTAGAATATAATGATGATCTTTTCTTTAAAATAATGCAAAATGCTAAGAACCACCACCACCACAACAACAACCAAAAAGTATTTATGGCAGTGAGGATCATAGACTTCGGAATGAATGTGTCCTGATCCCAAGTCAAAATAACAGCCCTGGGTTCAGAGCTGAAGTGTGTTAGATATAGAAACACCTGCTCTCTTATAGACCATTGGCATGTAGAACAGAATCTGTTCAATGACTAGCACTGGGAAGGAATGATATCTATGTACAAACAGATTTTTGGCTATGCCAGTTGAAAAGCATATGATCCTGCCTGCAAGGCACAGATGAATTTATGATGCTTTCCAGTTTGTTCCCAGCTTACAAGTCACTGGTATCAGCTGTACCAAGTTTTATTCCACTGGGAACATCATCTGTCCTGAGAGCTTCTCTACACGTGAGCACTTGGGAAAGTTAAGGTCACTAAAGGTATGAGGTTAATGAACATACAGATTTCAGAGCGAATGCTCCCACTCAGAAGTTAAGTTTGATGTACAACAAAGTGAAGCCATTCTCCTTCTGAAGAAAGATATCTAATGGCAAGTGTATTAAGCTTTCAGTTTCTGCATGTGCTTCACCCCTTTAGTCTAACCCACCTGGCAGACAAGTCCCAAGATGCACTCTTTCACAAAGGGTCACTTCCAAAAAGCTCATTTGCTTTATCATAAAGAACTGTGTCTTTATGTCATAAACCCATAGTCGAGACAGATGTTGGCTTATCACAACAGCAGTTCCTTGGTCTGGCCCTACACACCATCTTAGCAAGGTGCCTGATGTGACAACTGTCATGAGGGGTCTGTGTCCCCTCCAGGCACACGAAGCATGAATGGTTTCCCTCTAGCAAACCAGAACAGGATAAAGGATCTCTTGAAGAGAAAGTCTAGGGCGCTAATCCCTTCATAACAAGGACAGGCAAATTCGTGACCACAAGTGATCCAAATCATCACCAGTGCCACCACTGGCTTCCTCTCTCTTCCTTGGAAATTCCTGAAGCAGCCCCATGTCCCAGTAATGTCTCAAAAGTCTTACTGGCTGACATGTGCTGAACAGGTCTTTTACATCATCTTGTTTAGAACTGAATTCTGCCCAATTTTTTCCACTTTGACTGGAAGCCACAAGATACTTGAACACATCCTTGCTTTAAGCACATGCTCTTCCGGAGAGCACAGTTACCCACACGTGCTGGGTTATGGAGCAATCACTGAACCAGCACGCAGAAACCTGCCAAGTCAAGCCCAGAATGCTGCAGGACGCCTGTGAAGTTGGCCCCCATGTCATGGCCAAGGGTGAAGCACACAGATTTCAGTGCCATAGCAAGGAAATGACTGCAGTGAAAGAAAGGCGTGGGTTAGATAGTGCTCTGTTTCTCCATGCTGTCTGCAACTGATACCTGATATGGATGTGGGGAAATGGCTCTCAGTGCAGTTCTCTTGAGACTCCTGAAGACTTCAGAGCAGTTCTGCTTGGAGCACTCTGCTACGAGGCCTGGAAGGCATGCCAGAAATAATAAATCACCATTAAATTGTCAGAGCCAGTGGCAAAGTAGTGGCACAGATAAGTAATCTGATTTTCTTTGCTTCAAACCTCATCAGCACAAGTCGTTACAATGCATAGGTTAAGCCCCTCTCGGGGGGAGGAGACTCATGTATTTGAGTCACTGATAAACTAGAGAAACTACACAAGAAACAAAGTGCCTGTAAACAGAACCAGACTTTAATTTGAAAGGGTGCCAGATAAAACCAACATTGACACACCTTTAATCCTCTCCAATCAAATCCTTGTTTCTTTTACCTGCCAAGATTTTCCTGCAGTATCCACTGTTGATGACAATGACCTATTAAAATAATCACAGCTTGATTTTCTGCAGAAAGGAGTGCTCTCTAGCAGAAGGGCAGGAGTCACTGAGTTCATAGCCTGGTACATGCCAGCATTTGGTGTGATGGAAATTTAAATACATCAGGAATGCACTTGCCTTCTTCAGAAAAAACGATCTGTTGCCTAATTGCTCAGGTAGCAGATGAAACAGCAGAACATTCTTACTTGCCAGTTAATCCCCAGGGGAACAACTCTCTCCCTCCAGTTCCCTCATGCTACTGCCCTGAAGGCACGTTCAGGTCACCTGTTGGCTGCCTCCCTGCTTTTCCTTTGAGGTGACTTACCTTGGTTTCAGTGTAAATTAGCCCAGGAATGTAATTGCACCAAGTGTAGCCATTTGGAATTTTATCCTTATTCCCTCTCCCAGAGATCGAATTTAACCTTGACTTGTTGCAGCAACTTTTCCCTTTGGGCTGGGGGTTGTGCTGGTATTGCTGTGCTGTCTCAGCTCAGAAGGAACAGGCTGATCCCTGCAGGTTTCCCTCTAGCTACAGGTCACAGAGCAGGCCCCGAGCCTTGCTGTTCAACAACAGCCTCCGTGGCTTCCCTGTGGCAGCAGGACAAACATTCTAGGTGGTTGCAGATGTGAAAGGGAGCATGTTTCTTCAACAGGTGTAGGGAATGACTGAACAGGGTGTGCCAGAAGAAAGAGAGGAGTAACGCAGACAAGCAGCTCTACAGGCTACAGCTCTAGGTAAGGCTTAAGAATACTGTTTGTTACAGATCTGAGTGTGTGCTGCCTTTCTGCATGTGGCCCGAAGTGTGGTTGGTGAGTAATAACTTCACTAATGTTAGGAAAGTTATGACAAAACAAATGACCAGTGGGGAAGAAGGTGTAGTGTAAAGTTACTATGGCCTGCAGTGAAAAGGAGATTTTAAAGGAGGCAGTGGTTCAGGTGTTAGATGGGCAGTAAAATGCTGGTGAAAATGCTTTCATCAGGCATTGAGAAAAGGAATATAATGAAACATCTGCTGATCCTTTCTTGCTTTATCCTAGCCTGGAGCAAAGAACAAAGAAGCCAAACCATTGCAACCACAAAGGTAACTAATTCCTTTCTTAATCCAAATCTCAGGTGTGTGCTTATCTATTGGGAGTTTGGGGGCTCTTTACAGCTTTTTTTTATATATATATATTGGTTTTTGTGCCAGCAAAAACAGTTTTAGCAAACAGACCGTTGCAAAGGCAATGCACAGGCTAGAGAGCTTGGCATCTCAACAAGCCTGTGGAGCACGCCTCCATTCCAAGTTATTTTAACAGCAGAATCCAAGTATTTTCATACAAGTATCATCAAACTAAAACCTTTGGTCTAAACAACACCAGATTGCTACATCTGCGTGGAATAAAATTTTTAGGGGATCCTTCATCAGGTTCTTGATGTAACCTTGTCATATCTGTAGAGATCACAGACTCTGAGGTAAGTCACAAAGTAAGAGAACGTATCACGTAATGCTCTCGTTGTAACAGCTACTTTGCCTGTCATTTATGTGAGAAATTAAGGCAGGAGGGAAACATTTTTGGCATGGGATCCGGAAGCATCAAGGTCTTAAATTTTGTTTATATAAAACATACATTTCAATTGCAAGGATACAGTTATATATCCTTAGTAACTGCTAGTACACAGATCCAGCTCTGGCTCATAGGTGCCTAGAGTTGGAAGACAGCTTAAGAGATTATTTGGTCCATGACACCCAAGGCACAACTGGCTTTGTTCTGAAGGCATTTTGCAGTGTTTATAGAGACTGCTACCAACCCATGTGTCTTAGAGAGCAAATCTGGATGAAGTGTGAAAGGAAGCCAACATGATTAACCTCTCTAAGCAGAGAGACCACTTCTAGCATCACTGAAATACGGAGGTATTTGGGTTCTTAGAGCAGATTTAGAGGGAGGCGGTGGTACCTCATCTCTTATACATCTTGCAAACTTCCTACTCCCCCTCACTTTTCAAAGTGAGATTGTTACCATGGCTCTGTGGTCCTGTAAACCCAAAGCTGTGACCCCTACACCACTTCATTCAAGTGCAGCCTCATACTGGAATTGTCCACATATGGCAGGAAACAAGGGTTTCCTCTAAGTTCTCCAGACTCCTTAAAGCTCCTTCTTTGTGGATCTCCAAGAGCTGTGTCCTCAAACAGCTCTGAGCTTCTCTGCAATCCTCTCACCAGCCCCTTTGAGGCTCTATCCTGTAGCTCAAACCTCAACTTGCAAAGCTCCTCAGAAAAAGCACTCTGTGGCCACTACACCCAATTAAACAAGCAATATACTTTATATCAAACCCCTCACCAAGAAAAAAAAAGAAATCATATTCCAGCTTGGCCTCCGGCCCTGGAATCCCGAGCGTGTGTCCCGTTAAGCAGTGCCCTGGTCAGCAGGTGGTTCGCCCCCTCCCGGTTCCCGGCTCTCCCTCCAGCCGCCAGTTTCTCACCCCTGATTCCCCCCGCCCAGTTCCCGGTTCCATCCCTGGCTCCCCTCCCTCCGCGGTTTCCTTTCCCCCCGGCTCCCGTTCTCCGGTTCCCTCCTCGGCTCCCGGTTCCCAGTTTCTCCCTGGCTCCCTTACCGGTTCTCGTTTCCGGTTCCCGCAGCTCCCACTCCCCCCGCCGTTCCCGGTGTTCCCCCGGCTCCGGTTCCCCCCCCCCCCGGTTCCCCTCCCCCCGTTCCCAGTTCCTCCCTGGCGGTTCCCGTTCCCGGTTCCCGTTCCCGGTTCCCCCCGGCACGTCCCGGCGCGCGGCGCCCACCAAGTCCGTTCCGGGTTCGCGCGCGGCCGCCGCGGCTCTGGCCTCGGGCGGGCGGCAGAGGGCGCTGGGGGGAACCGTGCGGGGCGGAACTGTGTGCGGGGGGAACTGTGTGCGGGGGGGGGGGGGGAAATTGTGCGGGGGGGAGAACGGTGTGCGGGGGGGGGGAATTGTGTGCGGGGGGGGGAATTGTGTGTGGGGGGAATTGGGGGGGGGGGAGGACACTGTGTGCGGGGGAGCACGGTGTGCGGGGGGGGTTGGGGGGGAATTGTGCGGGTGTGAATTGTGGGGGGGTGGAGGACACTGTGTGCGGGGGAGAACGGTGTGCGGGGGGGAAAATTGTGCGGGGGGGGGACTGTGTGCGGGGGGGGAACTGTGTGCGGTGGGGGGGGGTGGTGGCAGAAGGCGCTGTGCGCCCGTTCCTCGGCCCCGGGTTTCCCGTGGGAACACGCCGGCACTGTCGGGTCCCGGGATACTTGCTCGGCCTAAAGGCAGAGTCCCGCTTAGTAAGAAAACGGGGGTGAGGAAAGTTTTCTGAAAGAAACGTCTGCTTAGAGCCTGGCTGCAGTCGAAGCCGTTGTTAATAGCACTGATAAAATGACAGGATGACTGATGAAAACTTGCATGAAAAGAAATGCCTTTATTTTAATTTTTGCCCTTTTCAGCATGTTTCCAGAGGCTTCTGCTGCCTGGTCCCTCTGACTTCAGTGGGTTTAATGTGCACCTGTCTTCTCACCCAGCTCTCTTAGTTCCTTCAGCTGCGTTTATCTCCACGTGCTTTTCCTGGGTAACCCAGGTGATGTCTTCACAATATCTTGGGCGCGTTGTACTCAGAGCCGAGAAAAGCACCGATTTCAGAATTGAATGGAGTAACACGTTCTGAAGGAAGGAGGCTCCAGACGCAATAAGCCACTCCCGTGAAGTTTGGTAGCCGTAGGACAGGCCGTACAACACAATGAGAAACGAGGACAGGGTAGTTATAGCTACAACCAGTGCCCATGAGACAGGCACACACCACCACCAAAGAACAGGCTCTGTGGCCGGGGTCTTACGAAGTTCCCTGATGGTACTGCTTAATGATTTCCTTCGCTTCAGAAAGATGCTCCCATCTGCATAACTACTGGACGACTTTGACCTCCTCCGGGAGGATGTAGCCCCTGGAGGGGATTTCGCATCAATCATCTGCTCCTCTGTTTCAATGACATTTGCAACTTTTTCAGGTAGTACGCAATTATTCCAGAACTCAGGCTTGGCCTCTGGGTACATCTTAGTCACTACAGGAGTAGGTTCCTTCTGGGAATACTTAAATAAGGCTATTATTAGCATTTCCACAGGGATTGTAAGCAAAGCACATTCAATTCCTACTGCTATTGATCTCAAATACCTCAGGTATATTGGAGATTCTTCATTCTTATCAGTGTTAAAGAACATAATGTTAACAAGCAAGTTGAATAATATTACTGCTAAACACGTAGACAACCTTTGGAATCTGGTGAAAGCACCAGTGACAGTGGGAGCAAAAATTGAGAACCACAGATGGTAGTCTATCATCCTCTTGTTAAAGTTAATAAGAAAATAGTCGATTTTGGGTAGGGGTGTTCTGGGGTCTGTGACAGAAAATTTCCACTCTTGTGGGGGATCATCCTTGGCACAAGAAAGCCATTTTCTGCACATAAAGGACCAGGCCTTCCTGGTGAATGTGTTCTCAATTTCAGCTCTGCTTAAGAACCAGCTTGGAGATGAGCCATCGTTATTAAGCCTGACCCTGAAGGAATGAATGTCTCCCAAGGCTTTCTTAGTGGTTATCAGAAAGCAATCAGTGCTTCCTCGCTGGAAAGCTGGAGAAGGGTGGTGCCATAAACAACGGAATTTACTCTTGCCATCCTCGCCGATGAGCTGCAGAGCGACAGCTGCTTTGGTTCCAGCGTTACAGCGACTGCCTGTGTACAAAGTGACCAAATAGCTCCCTTCATCAGAGGGGCTGTTGTCTGGCAGGACCATAATGTATTTGATCTCTTTCTCAGCTCTGTCTTTTAGTATGGCCCAGATGCACAAAAGAAAGTAGACAGCAAAAATAGAGGCCACTGTTATGAGGGTCAGTGGGTTTCTAGGTATGTGTGCTATCAGGTTTCTTCCTAGATCTACTGTGTTGGGAAGAACTACTACTTTGGCTGCCAGGAACTTGATGTTGGTTGCAGTTTGGGCTGACACGCTCCTGAGCTTCTGCACCGTGTCGCAGGCACAGTGTACCTTCTGCCAGTCGGTCTTGGAGCCAACCTTGCATGTGTCTCTGCTCCACGGACTTCCAACCCCGTCCAGAAACAGGCACCGGTCATTAAAGACGTATATGCCCACCAGTCTCCGGTTCGGGTACCTTACAACATAGCGTGTCTCCAAGACAATGGAGATGTTCTGCCTGTCTGTGCCGTTTGCCTGAGCTATGGCTGTCAGCAGTGACTTTGGGAGACAGACAATATAGGGACCCTCAATGCTACACTCAGCACTGGCTGTCTCATTTCCACTGGCAACTGTTGACATGTTGTGAGAAGCAATAAACAAGGCTGTGGGCTGAGCTTGAGTGACATTGGCACCTGTAAATATTTTCACCTTGAAAGTAGCTTTTAGTTTTGTCGTGATCTGGAAGTATATGCTCGTGGTATTCCTGCTGACCTCAAAACGAAATCCTCCAGTTGTGTAAGATTCTGTTGTGTCGGGTCCCATTATTAATGGAAAAGTTGTAGATCCATTACCTTTCCTGGCAAGAAAAATGTCTGCTCTTTCAGGCACAATCCAAACTAGATCCCCATTAGCCTTAGTCTCTGCCATTTTAAACCCCAAGACCATTGTTCTGATTTCTGCTGTGTAACCTAACCAAGGGAAGGGGGTCTTATCAAACTCAAAAATGGCAGTGGAAAACACGGTATCCTGAGCAAATCCTGAAACATTTCCTTTTTTCAGTGTTGGATAAAAGCAATTCCTGCAGGTGTCGCTGGTAGGGAAAGCATTTGCAGTGTTCCAGGCTTCATCTTTCTTCAGAGTGATATTCCAGTCTTTCGTTTCCATTAAAGTTTCTATTTCTCCAGGGACTTTGCCCCGGAAAGCTACCTCTGTTACACCTTCCATGATGGACAAGACTTGTTCGATTCCATCTGCACTGACATTCTTGAGATCCGTAAGATCAGATCTCAGGATGTTGGACAAGCATCTTAGTATTCCACTGGTTTGAATTTCTGCTTCCTCAGACCAATGGATCTGATTTCTCTGTGTCTTCAGAATTCCTGTTACTTCTCTCAGTTTTGCAATGGCGAGGCCTTGTGACCTAATGTTCACTTTATCAACTTCCTCTGTGACTGCAGCAAGAACAGCCACTACTTGATTGACTCCCATAATGCTCTTAACCGAAATATTCAGGGCTGTTTTAATCAGGGTTTCCCGAAGCTTAGCCTGAGGGAGCTGGGGAGTTGGTACGGTTTTAACATAGTTTAAGATTGAGGCTGCCAGGTAAGCCAAATAACCAGCTCTAAGATTATCCCCAGCCTTCGGACCAGCTGTGCTTAAACTGCTTGCTGAGGCCAGTAGTTCATGAAACACAGCAGGGAGTAATTGAGGGTTTGATGGGTTCCGGATGGAGGTATGCAAAGTCACTTGGGTAAACGCCCCAAGGGAATCACGGACTTGAACATAAATTGTCAAGGTGTTCCTGTGAGAGGGCGCTCCAGGTGGGAGAAAAGATAGAGGACTTTTAGGCTCAGAACCAAAGTACAGAATTGTGCCAAATGTGTTTTCCACCACAGAAGTTACTTTGGTAGTTTCGGGTACGTTGGAAGCTACTATCACTTTATATGTCAGAGGTAAATTGCTGCCAGAAAATCCCTTGCATCTAACCACAAATTTTGTCAGAAAGGCTATACCCCGACGTGGGTTCAAGTTACACCTGCCGGCCCGAGGAGGAGTATTTACCCTAAATTTTCTACTGTAGACTGAGGTCCTACCATCCCAGGTACTTACTCTTAAGTGAAGTGTGTAGGATGGAGATGTAGCCCTTGTGAAAGTCAGAGCATGTATAGACATGTAAGCCCCAGACCTCCCCGTTGATGTTTTGGAAGACCAGTCAAAGCTAATTTCTCTACCGCTGCCAGACAAAAGGGACCAGTAGTAGACTGGCTTGTTGATTGGTTTACAGTTTAAGCATTTACCAGACAAGGCAAATCTCTCCGTTGGAATTAAAGTGCTACCACAGTTTTCAATGCATGCCACGTTCAGATGGAGTGGGGGGCCGGCCGCCACTTCTACCACTTGATCAGCATGGCTTATCCTTCTGCCCTTTTGAATCACTAGGCGAAAGTAGTATATGCTTCTTCCTGGGAGGGATTCTGGTGCCATTCTTTGAATGGGACCTGAGGGTGTTAACCAGCGCAAATCCTTCTGGGATGGATGGCATTTGTTTTCTGGCCTGAATTTCATGGTATTATAGTCTCTCAAATCTCTAGTGCAGTACCAAGTAAATGAGATTGATCCTTCCTGTGAATCAGGATCAGAGGATGCAGAGCCATCAAGAGTCCAGCTTTCAGAAAAACCCACCATGCGGAACTCACCTCCTGAAATATTTGCCATTAGATTAGCTCTCTCGATCTGAACA